CCCTGATCTGCGCCGCTGGCCTTCGCTCCGCGGCGGAGGGTCTCCTCTTGGGCTTGGCGGAAGCCTGCGGGGAGAGCCTCGGTCAGCGCTACCCGGGAGGGTCCCTCCCGGAACCTGCCTGGAGCCCACACGGCCAGGCTTCGAGTCAGCTCTCGGCCGGGGGAGGTCAAGGAAGTGGGGGTCACCTTGGGCCGAGATCAAAGGGTCCTGAGGTCTGTCTCCCTTCCACCTACAATCCTAACTGCCGAGCATTTGCTGAGCACCTGCTGGAAAGCAGGCACTCCGGGCCGAGAGGAGTAAGGCCTGCCTGATAGTGGGGTGAAGCGGAAAACACGAAAACGATAGCATCCAGCAATGTGTTAAGACTGTAAGGAGTCAAGAAAGGAAGGGTGTATGGATTTTAGGTGACCAGGGAAGGCTGCGTGGAGGAGGCATCCGAGATAGAATGTGATGGAAGAGCATTCTGAGTAGAGGGAACAGAAAAAATAGAGACATGGATATGGGGAAGGAAATGACTCCGTGGTCTGCTTTGACTGCAGCTGCGTCCACTCAGGGGAGTCGTGGAAACTAAGGCAGGAGTGGAAACTGAGGCCAGATTGGGGTGAAGCTGGCTCAGCTGAGGAGTGTGTGCCTTGGGCCTCCAGACTTGGGAGGAGGCTGGACTTTAGGAGCGGAGGGAAGTTAAGGAAGGCCAAGGCTCCCGGTTGGTGGAAGGGGTGGACTGTCTGGAAGAGTGAAGGGCTGGCCTGTGGGTGGGACCACCGTGCTGCATGAGCCCCTTTGAAGAAGAACACACAGGAGAAGGTCAGTTGCAAAAAGCTCAGCTACACTGCTACTGTTGTCAGAGAACTGGGGTAGTGTGTGTTTAGACCATGGACTCTGAGGCCTGGCAGCCTGTGTTTAGACCTCGCTTCTACCTTGTACTAGCTGTGTGGCCTTGGGCAAGTTACTCAACCTCTCTGTGCTGCCTCCGTGTCCTCTGTTATAAAATGGGGTTATTAAAAGTGTTTTTTGGCCAGGCGCAATGGCTCATGCTTGTAATCCCAGCACTTCAGGAGGCTGAGGTGAGAGGATGACCTGAGCCCGCAGGTTTGAGACCAACCTGGGCTACTTGGCGAGACCTCATCACTACAATGAGTCAAAAAAATTAGCTGGGTGTGGTGGCGCATGCCTGTAGTTCCAGCTACTTGGAAGGCTGAGGTGGAAGGATCGCTGGA